CCCTACATAAATCAAGTGTAAAAGGCAACATATTTGTCTTTGAGAGAGAAGTTTTTCAAATGTCATTCAGTTGACTGAAGTGTTGATGTCTTACACATACAGCCTTGCCAGGTTTCTCCTCTGAATTTTGCAAGGTGGGCATTGAGGTTTTAAGATTTAATGGCAAGAACCTCATTTCCAGGAAGAGATAATTTAGAAAGCAAACCTAATCTTTCTCAGATAAGGACTAAGCACTTAGTCCCTTGCTACAACAAAGACTGCTGAAATTCAGCTTCCACAGTCTTCCCTATCCATATACCTCTGCCTTTACGCAAAGAGACTCTCTGTACCAGCACAATGTCACTTAGTCCACAGTATCTACTGATTCCATTTTCCTTTCTGAGATAGCTACAAGTTTTTGGAGTATGGACTTGTGTGTTTTAACACTGCTTGATGTAATTCTGTTCCAATATTTGGAAAAATGCAAGTAGTCATGTGAGGGTGATAGTCATTTTCTAGACGTTTAGTATCTAAGGTTATAAACAGCATTGATTAGGGAAGGTGATGATTTAATCATCCCAAGTTGTCTAACACAGAAGCTTTTAAAAGAATAATTGGGGGCATTTTTGATATGCTGGTGTTACATTTTAGTGTATTTTGATATGCTTACAACGTTTCAGAAGACTTTGAGAGTAGTGATGCTGTGCCAGTGTTCAAATGGGTAGCTGAAATGAAAAAGTTAATGTAGGCCAGTTAGTCTGATAACCAGTGAAATATCTGGTGTGGGATTCAGTTAACAGAGATCTAAAGGGTGGTAATACGGTTAATGATAGTCAAGATAGTTTTATAGAAAATATGGTCCTGTTCAAAAAAATCTAATTTTCTTGATAAAGTTATAATTGATAAGGGAACTGCTGAGATGTAACATGCTAAGACCATTGTAAATATTTGTTTAAAAATGAGCAGCGTACAATATTGATAAAGCACACCTTGAGTGAATTTAGAACTGGTCAACTAACAAATATCAAAAGCAGTCAGCAGGGAATTATCTGTGAGTAGCGTATATTCAGAGGGACCCACTTCACAGTTCATTCAGTTCTAGATCTGATATTGTTCAGTGTTTTTTATTGGTGATCTACAGTTTAATAGCCTGTCATATACATATGGTCATGAGTTGATCTAATTGTTCCCTCTGGCTTTCAAATCTATGAGTCTGTCAGCTAATTTCATATAGCTGTTTTCAGTGCATCCCCACACATAGCATTCACATGGGCAGTACATGTGTTAGTGTATGCATAGGTGGTTGACATGACTGCAAGATCAAAATGCATCCTAGCTGGAGTGATTAGAACACGTTCGAAGGTTGTTCCTCCTGGATTTCAGTCTTCTGCCATACATGATCGTGGTGTAAGACCTAAAATGAGTAAAGTCCATCATTTCGTCAGCTTCCTGTTTTTACCAATAAGTGTTCCCTATATATATAGTTATTACTTATATAGAGTATGTAAAAAAATATGTGTAGAATAAAAGCAAATTTGTTTCTGTCACTGATCTTCAGTACCACTATCACCTGAGTTGAGTCAAGAGAATTTGCAAATGATCAATCCTTCCAAAATCAGATGTACAAACCGCAGAAAAGTTTGTATATATCTGTAGCCATCTTCCAGTTGCCTAGGCAAATTATTTTAGCAGCACAGTATATAGAAAAGAAGTAGAAGTAATCATAGTATTGTAGTTTGAGAAATTAAGGACAGCTTGAAATTCTTGTCATGATTAGACTTTTATGCTTACATGTGTTTCCAGGTTGTATCTTTCTGATTATTTAAATCAGTAGTATCTATTGCTTATGTTCTTCAAAGATAAGTAAGGAGTATTTTTATTCCAAATTTTCATTCATTTTATACATTTTTGTCCCTTAGTGGAATCTATGGCAACAGCACCACCAGAAGGCAGCTTTTTTGTATCTTTCATTTTGAAATACCTATGATGTTTTGCAAGACAGGGCAGGATATAATCATGTTAGATAGTGAACTTATGTTTCAAAGTAATATTTCATATATAAAACCCACATTTTTTAGTGAGTTTATTTTTTCCATCACTTGCCATTGTTAGTCTGATTTCCAGATTCATTGAAAATTCTCATGTTACTGACTCTAATGAAACTCAGAAACCCTTCTGAATGTAAAGGCACATAGATCCATCATATTGCTAAGTTGCAGTTAGAACAGATGTCCTTAAACAACTATAAAACAGATATACTAAAACTGTATTTTGTAACCTCTGATAGTTTACCAAGAACTGAATGTATGCTGTCAGGAGGAATAGTTGAAATGTAAGTTGTTTAGCAGCTGCTGTAAACTATGACAGACAAAAAGGAATAAAATAGCTTTGAATAGTATACATTACCCAGCATAGCTATCAGTTATAAATATGAAAAACTTCTATTTTAAAATAGATTTACTTCAAAGGAGAATTGTAAACCCTTGTAAAATGTGTGTGGGGCACAGTTCCAAATCAATAACATGTGTATGTGGAACTAAATATTTCAAAATACTTTATTTGACTGTGTCTTACCTGAATGTTTTCTTAAATCTTAAGGTCTATGAAATTCCATATTAGCTTTGCAACAATATGAAAGACACAGTTCTGTATATTGCAGAGTATAATGTGAAGCTTATACCCACACATACATACATTATTCAAGAAAAGTGGCAAAGCTTACAGAATATTTCTTGCTTTGTTCTAGAGATCCAGTAAGACCTTCCTGCCCTGTCAGGAAATTGGCCCATTCTTGGATAGCTGTTTCCACACTTCAGGCACCACTTCAGATAAAACACAGACATTCTGGAGCAAGATCATATATAAGAGAATTCAGGATATCTTCTTTCATATGGTCCCTGATTCTCAGTCACAAATGCAAAGGAGAAGGAATATTCTCCTAGATTGCTCACTGATACATCCTAGAAGCTTGTAGTGATATAATGGTCCATTAGCAGACTCCAGCATATGCTCACCACTAAGGCCTGTCTTTCGAGTAACGAGTACTCACAGAGAAGAAAGATTACTTGTTCCCCAAGCAACTTCCTAAATATAAATTCAGTCACATAGGCCTCGATCTGCAAAATATCTGAAAAGGTACTTCCAGGTTCATACCTAATTTGTGGAAGGTCTTATGGCCTCCTTTGTAATGATTCAGAAAAGAAAGCCACTTAACACAAAAATGGCCTGGCAGAGCTGAAGTCTGACAGACAAGAGGAGTGATATTTAAACCCAGAATTATTCCAACAGAGAGCTCAGTTTGACAACCCCTGGAGGGATCTGTTCACATCAAGTTAAATTGCAAAACTGAGGCAGACTATTCTTTACTATGAAATGAGACTAAAAATTATTTAGACAGATATTCTGGTTCACAGACTGACTAATTCACTTTCTGTCTCATCCTCAGTCTTTCACTAGCCATCATTTGGGAATTGCACTATCCACCACCAGGCAGTGACTCATATTTGGCAGTAATTAGGATGTCATTCATCCTGAACATATATTTTGCAAAATCCCTCCCTACTTCCTGAAACCATGAGAACATACTTGTTTTTATATTGATTTCTATAAAAAAACAATTACTTTCACAATGCTTAGTATTTATTTTTAGCATTTCATGTACTAAGTATTGTTAATGTATGCTTGTATTTTCACTTCTTTTGCATTTGCTTCAGTGATTTTTTAGAACTGCTTTTGAGGTTTGTGATGGTGGCAAGGGTGGTCTCCTCTGGAAGCACTACATATATACTGAGAGAAAATTATTTCTGAATTTTAAAATTCTTGAATTTTTATACCAGTTTGTGAATACTGATCTTTGTTGCAAATAACTGTTCTAATGCCATAAACCAAATGTAGTTTAAAACCTTTGGGGCGCATTCTTACCATGGGTAGGTAAGATCTGAAGACTGTGGAAAATTATCATATTTTGTATGAGTATTCATACAGTCCACTGTTAGCTATTCATGAACAGCTTAATCCAGGTTTCAAATCAGCAGTGCCATAGAGAAGCATTCGTGCTTCAGCAGACTTCATTTGGGACTGGTAAGATTGCTGTTGATGATGCTTCTGATGAGAGAGGAACTGTGTCTGCCAGCCCTATTAGCTCTGGCTTAGTGTTCGCTAGTCTTAAGAATGGTTGGTTCTGCACAGATCCAACTAAGAATCCCTGCACTATGCTTCCTATACACATACAGTCCAGACTTTTGTATCAGACAAGACTTTGCCACCCTTCCCTCTCTGTTTCCTGACTCTGTCCCCACACTGGCAGTAGAGAAATGACCATGTGGTTGACTCCTTAATTCATATGTATTTCCACCCAGATGAGAATCATGTGTTAAGTTGTACTTTTGCACAGTTAGGATCTGAATATCCCTTTTAAATTTCACAGATAAGAAAAAAGACTGTAAAATTCTAATACCAGAAGCTGCAAATGTGTGTGCTCATAAAAGGTCTCTTACATACTTCTAAACATTCTGAAAGAATATTTGCAAAGTTATTTTCTCACTATTGTTTTTTGTTTTCCATAGCCCATCAGTCAGGAGCATCACTATCAGAAAGAAATGAGCCCACTTTCTCATTCCAACCCACGGTAAGATTCCATTTATAGCCTAGGCAGTAAGGATTCAGTTAGAGTGTTCTGAATATTAAATGTGACATTCTTTGATTTAATCTTAAATCTCTCTTCAATTGCAACCTCCTCTCAGAGGGCTTTACTATTGCTCGTTTTAGTCTCTGCAGTTTGTCTGCCTTGTCCTAGAATGCAGAACTGAATTCTGCATGTTTTGGATGTACCACTGTGTATTTAAAGTAACTGACATAGGCCTTGCTCTTACACCTGCTTTGATGCGTGATTCAGCAAATCTTCCTCGTCTGACATACATACACCTATTTCTTTCTCCCTCTCTCCCTCTCTGCTTTGAAGGCTTAGAACTAGAATTCTGTATGTGACTGTAGGTATCAGGGAATCCATTTGTTACAAAAGATTTTAATGTTACTTATTTAGATAGGACTTTTCAATAGATAGCCCAGTCAGGAGAGGGTGTTACAACGCTGTGGGATAGTTCAAAGAGATCCTGTCTACCCTATACTTTGGCTGTCAGGTTTTTAGCTTGATCTGTTTTGTTTTGAATCAGCAACAAAACCCTGTGACTTTAATATAAGGTGAGATGGGGATTTGAAGACAAGGGGAGAGGGTGGCTAGGGGGAAATAATCAAACTGAGACAATCAAAATTAATTGTTCAGTTTCAGAACTGCCTTGTACCTGTGAAACCCCAACATCACTTTGTCAATTTTTTAACAGCCTGAACAAGAGGCATACTGATTTTAAAAAGTAGTCCTGTTTCATTTTCACTTGGTGTGATTAATGTGGCTTTTGCTTGTCCAAGTTTTAACTGGACAATGTGTGTGTGTTGGGAGGGATAGGAGGAGAGGACATTTCAGATACAACTTCTTTATCAACAGTCTGAAATGTTTTATGATAGTGCACTGCTAGTCCGTTGTGCAGGATAATATGCATTTCTCCTCACACAGATGTCTTTAGTCACTTGTCTCACTTGCCATCCACATTTTTATCTTCTTGTTAGATTTTATGAAGTGAACACTATGAAACTTGCTGTGCAAGTTCACCCAGACACATCAGTTACAACATGCAGCCATATGTTTCCTAGTGCACACAATATATTACTGGAGTTAAAGTATAATCCTGGATTCCTGTTCCCTTTCACATGTAAATCAAAGTGCTTATGTTGGTCTAGAAAACCTCTCTGCCTTGGGTGCTGTTATCAAAGAAACTATCTCTGTCCTTACGAATTGTTACAATGGCTGAAGTGGACTGAGACACTTGGCTACAGTCCACAGAGTAAGATATCAGGTACCCTGTGACTGACATTTTGTCAAGGACTCTCTATTCTGGAATCAATTTCATAATTCTGATGGCATCAGAATTGCCTGTATTTTAGTGCAAGCTGCACTGTTTGTCTTCTTTTTGCTCATACATTGGTTGAGTCAGGTTTTATTAAGTTATTTTTATGCATGTGCTAAAGCAATTTGGTACTTGGTACATTTTATATACTGAAAAACAGAATAAACACCATTATCTGTAAAAATAAAGCATTTCATCATATCAAGTTAATATGATGAACAATGAAAACTTGTATTACCATATAATAAAATTTAAAACAAAATAGTATAAATTACAACTTAGTGCTTATGCTATTTTAATCCAGTACACACAGTAGACTTAAATTTCTCTAGAAATCATTTTCGAGAAATGCAGGCAAAGTATTCGTAAAATACCTGACTTGCAAGTGCCTCATAAATTCAGTAGCCCTTGTGAACTGCCAGAAAAGCATTATTGGGTTGTAAATACAGAAGATGACAAAATTATGAGGTCAGTTTGCATCATGATATAAAAACTGGAGATTATGTGACTTGAATACCATTATTCACATCATTACCTTTCATTTATGATGGAAAACTGTGTAATGTTTTTCACCGAGGGTGTGTACTGAAATGAGAGGGAGATAAAATCAATGGTAATTCTACGACTTAGTTCCTAAACTGTTTTTAAAGCCAATTTTAACAAGTAATGTGTGAGCAACTGGAAAATGTCTAAATCTTTGTAAGCCTGCTGTAGCTATGTAGGGGAGCACACAGAATATTGCAAAAATTGATATATCCTATGTAGATAAGTGGGTGTAAATGCCATGGCGTGAAGACAGTTAACGTGATGCACTTACTGAAACAACAAATAGTTTGTTGTAAAGAGTGATAAAGAATTTGACAGGTCTCAAGTAACTTTAAAAAGTGTAGTAGTGGTATTTTCTGGGAAATGAAAAGAGAGCAATGTGGAAACTATTGTCCAGTAAATGTAGCTTCTATCCATAATAAGATAAAAGAACAAGCCAGGAAAGAAAGCACCTGTGAAGATAATGGAAATGCAGTCAATAAAAAGACCCAGCTAGATTCATTTTCCATTGGTTCCACTGGGTAAAGGTCATAAGTCTGCCAAGAATATTGCTACTGCAATACAAATCACCTCCACATCATGCTGCTTTGCAAGGCATAGAACTAGTTAATGAAAGGAGACAGGCTGACTGCAGAGGCTACAGAGCCAGATGAGCAAGATGATGTGCAGTGTTTCAAGCCTTAGCTATGCACTTTCCACTGACTGATGTGCTGTATCGTCCTAGCTGAACTTCAGAATTGCTCCCTTCTCTCCAAATAGGAAGCTGTAACTATCTATGTTACTTCTTCCTCCAGTGCAGGGGCTGGAAATTGAAATGTACCTTGCATCTGCTTAGTAAGCATTTGTCCTCCAAAATATTTGTGTTGTAGAAGGTTTGGAAGTTTCATTAAAGGAAATGCTGAAAGAAAGTAAATATTCTAGAGGAATTTCAGCCATACTGAACTGCAAAATGTGGAGCTGCTCTCTGAAAAAGGGCACTTGAGCCTAATTTTATGAATATATTTTCTGAACTTCTAGATGCCCTCCAGAAAATGTATTTCTGATCAAAGCTGATTTTTCCATCTTTGAGAGAGGGGTTTTTTGTAAGTTTAAACCTATCTTTATAAGCATTGCCTGACCAGATCCTCTGTTGGCATCCTACTCCACTCTTCCCAAGCTACCAAGTAAAATTTGTTCTTCTGAAGTTCAAATAGCTGTTCCCCAGAAACCACACTAAAGTAGGACACAAATATTTCAGCATTTCATTGGGTATCCTTTCACAAGACGTATATTTTACTTCAGCAATTTCATACAAAATGTACACAGCCAATTTTCCAGTTAGGTTTTACCCGGACATGTAACTCTATATGTTAAAAAATATGTATTCCCATTGTGAATTGTGAGCACAGAGATTTGATGATCGTAAAAGCCTGATTTGGATTATAGCTGAGAATAGATCAGGACAAGCATCATTTTATGAGAAAGTCTATTGATCAGTGGTCTCAAACCAAAGAATGAGTGATCAACCTGTTTCATTCACAAGTGAAAATAATTGTTGAACTTAAGTTTAATTTGTTGTCCCTATTAGTGGCTGGTGGGTTTCATATGTTAACAGCTCTAAAATCAACAGCCTTCCCAAACTACTCCATATATGTGGGGCTGACAGCTTTTCCAAGGGTGGCTGGAACCTGCAGAAGTTAAGAAGTATATCAGTCAATGAAAATGATCTTTTGAAGTATGTCTGTGCCACTGCTGTAGGCTTGGCCAGGGTTACCTGCACAGAATTAACAGGAGTAAATAGAACTGTACTCCCTTGTTAGCTCCACCTCTATCTCCTCTGCACTGCTGGAAGCTCACGCTTGCCAGGCTGGTATGTGAAAGCATGTATGCATCAGTATATAATGTACCCTACCCATTCAGCCCTGTGTGTTGGAATTCACCCCACCTGATGGATGATCATGACCCAGTGTGGGGACAGGAGGGGAGTCTTAAGCCTCCTTGCTGATACTGAGAATCCATCTGCAGCTGATGATGTAGATTGTCAGCCCCGAAATTCCAGGAAGAATCTGAAGAAGCAATGAGACATCATATTATCAGGCTCCCATCTACCCTTTCCAGTGTCTTGTTCTTCTCCATGACCCTCTCACCTGCATCCAGGGAGATTATCTCCATAGGTTTTGCTATGAAAAGTGAGTGTTACAGTTGCTCTGAAGTGGTAGGGTTCTAGACGATCCTCAAGCCAGTCCAGTAACTAACTTGTAAAATAAAATAGATTTATCTGCTCTGTACATGCAAGTCAGTTGCTTTTTCAATGGGATTTTTTGTGTTTAAATTAGATTCCGTCAAGTGGTTTTGTTGTGAATAGAAAAGAAACCTCTTAAAACTAAAGAGCATGCAAGGTCCCTAAAATTTTAAGAAAAACCAATGATACTTTGAAGTGTTTACTGAAATTGCTAAATGGAAATATGATGCAATTCAGGCCAGCATTTTGTCTAGATTTATGTTTTATCTATAAAAAGTGCCACTACTGTACTGTGGTTTAAATCCTTTGTAGCCTTGCCACTTGCAGATGTGGTATGAAGTTCCTTGTATCTATAATTGGCTGATAAGGGCCTGCGGTCTTTGACAAATGATTAATAGTCACTGACCTCATTTCACATGGGCTTGGTACGGGGCTGACTAAAGCAAGCTGTCTTGTCATTGTAACCTACATGTGTTACATTAGACTGATCAGGATATCATCATTCTTCTCTCCTCTAGAATCAAAAAAAAACCAAAACCCCAAAAAAACCTAATAATGTTTTCTTCCCTTTTTTGGTAAAGGTATCTCTCCAGTTATGATAAATGTTATAGGTTTGAGATTTATCATTACAAAAGAAATGTTTCATTGACTTGCATGTTAACGCATTTGAGGAGGACAGTAACTATAAACTTTTCAGAAGAAGTTGTAGGTTTTACCTTAAGATAAAAAAAACAGAACCCATATCCTTAATTACTACTTTATCAATGTGATTTTCTTATTTTTGTAATGATATGCACCCATAGTAGTTCAGATAATTAATCATGACATGGATAAACATTTTTCTTTAACTAAATACATGTTGATTTCTTTTCAGACTTGAGTATTAGTAAAATTCTGGTA